CCAACAGGGCTTTATTCATTAACCAATAAGAGAAGCATATTTACAGAATGACATCTCCCATCAGAACAGAGGAGCAGTAATGAAGAAACTATACTATCATCTCAAAATATTAAACACCCACAACCCAAAATATACTCTGAAATTGGTAGGCAGAATAGACATCAAAATTTCTCAAAAATATGATAGGGAAGAAAGGGCATATTTAGCTTTATCAACAGGGCAAACAACCGGTTAACAGGAATAAACACTGAATGGGAAAACATTTTTTCTGGACAGTTCTGGAAACATTCTGTATCAGGCAAAGCACACAAAAATATTTGTTGATAGGAAATACTTTGGGGAATAAAGTTGATGATACAACAGGCTCTGAACAGGGCCAATGTTTATAATTTCATCTAAATGTCAGTAATGACAACAAATGAAGAGAGAGGGAGGAAGATTCCAGAAAAACACATGGGGTGGCCTGTTTTTCTGTGGGGATTCTCTGCTAAAATTGCATACTGGAATGTGGTCTGTGACATGCAAGGAGAATTATCCACAACCATGATCTTTTCCACCCTGCACCTGTGGATACATAAGTATGCGCAGAATTGGACCTCCCAGCTTTGTAGCGCAGATAAAACAGCCAGCAGGGTACATGGGTAAATTTCCATCTCACAGTTAACTTGGGTGCTTGTCTTTTTCCCAAACTCACACAGACACCACGTATTTCATTTTAAACAAGGTTGTCTCTTTTCAAAGATATTTGCTGGCTTTTGGTTGTGCTACTTAGTAGGATAAAGTACATGCCAAAACAAGCCTGGTTATTCCTATTCTTTCTTTTAGTTTGTGTGCAGCCCTAGCTGTCCTGGCACGTACTATATGGACCTCGGACTTACAGACATCCACCTGGTGTATACCACTGTGCTCAGCTTGATTCTTCCCGTTTACTTCAAAATTTTTGTCTCACTTTTCTGAAACACAGACAAGATCAAGAAGTGACAAGACCTGCTGGAGAGTGGCACAAAGGGCGTAGGAATCCCTTCCCGGGGCCTGTGCTCCCTCACTAGCTAAGCTTAGAGAGCAGGAAGTGCCAGGCCTCTCCCACCCTCAGCCCACCCGATTCCCACCTCTTATTTCAAAAAGACATCTTTGAGATAAAGCTGGAACTGTCTGCAGGTTTTCCTTCCTTCTTATGACAACTTACTAGTAAATGACGCATCGCCACAACAACTCAATTTCACATTCTCAAAGGCCGCTTAAAAAGGAAAATGGGAATTAGTTTGCCACAGGACCCGGCAATCCCCCTCTTAGGCATATACCCAAAGGATTCACATCCATGCAACAAAGACATCTGTTCAACTATGTTCATAGCAGCACTATTTGTAATAGCAAGAACCTGGAAGCAACCTAGATGCCCTTCAATTGAAGAATGGTTAATGAAGATGTGGCACATCTACACAATGGAATACTACTCTGCAGAAAAAAATAATGGTATCTTGAAATTCGCAGGCAAGTGGATGGCACTTGAAGAAACCATCCTGAATGAGATAACCCAGTCACAAAAAGAGGAACACAGTATGTACTCACTCATATATGGATTTTAGACCTAGATCAAATGATCACCAGCCTATAATTCACACCACCAGAGGAACTAGGATACAAGGTGTATTCTAAGAGATTCATATAAAGTCCCTCACAGAACTAGGCAGGGACAAGTCCCCCAGAGCTCAGGTGAAGTGGGGGGGCAGAGAAAGGAGAGAGAAGTAGGAGAAAATGAGGGGGAGGAAAGGAAAACATGTGCGACCAGGAAGATTGAGCCTGGTTAAGGATAAAAGATAGGAAAGAGAGAGAGAGAGAGAGAGAGAGACAGACAGACACAGAGTGACAGAGAGAACATTAAAGAAGGAGCCAATATTGGTTTGAAGATAAAATTGAACACAAAGAAAGGACTAGAGAACTACAAGACTGCTCCCAACTAACAATCTCAGCTTCCATGGAAAGGCTATCATAAATGCCCTTCCCGGAGAGTGAGATCAACAACTAACTTCTCCATGGAGCCCTCAACTAATGCCTGTTGAAAACAGGATCAAACACCCATACATAAACACTGAGTCGAACTAGAACCCAGATGCAGATGGAGAGGACAAGACCATGCCGCAGAAACACATAGAGACAGCTTACCTGAACAAGGAGGAGCTAACGGGCCCCCAGACTGATAGCTGGGAATCCAGCATGGGACTGACTCAGGCCCCCCTGAATATGGGTCTCAGCCAGAAGGACTGAGCAGTCTAAGGGACCTCAGACAGTGGAGCCAGGATGTATCCCTGGTGCACAAAAGGACTTTGCGAACATACCCCCCATGGAGGGATAACTGCCTTAACCTAGAGACAGGAGAGAAGCCCTAGTCCCTACTTCACATGATCTGTCAGATCTACATGACCCCAACTGGATGGCACTCCCCTACATATGGAACTGGGGTGGGGGGATGGGAGGGAAGTGTGGTTAGAGTGCATGTGAGAGGGCAGAGAGGGTAAAAGGGAGGAAAGGAGGGAGGGAGGGATGGGGGGAGGGAGGGAGGGAGGGAGAGAGAGGGAACTGGGATCGACATGTAAAATAATAAATTAAATTAAAAAAATGCTTTGACTCCAAAATTTAAGTTGAAGGACAAGTTACTGGGGAAAAGGATTTCTATTTTTGTTTCCACGGAAAATGAAAAGATGTGGATTCCTTCCAGACTAATGTGGTTTGATCACGCCAGACCGCCTGAAACATAGTACAAGGTGATCCTACATTCAAAACAGCTGGACAAAACAGCCTTACAGACTACAGCCAGGATATCTGAATCTTCTTCTAATCCCCCATGACAGCACCCCTTACCAGCAGGAAGTAGTTTGGAAAGAACGACGCCAAAATTCCCAAATATTGTGTATAAATGTTTGTCTTCATTTAATTGGACTTTGTTATATAAAATTAAATAAAGTAATAAAAAAAAGAAAAAAAAAATAAAGTGCTAAGAGGAAAAAAAAAACAGTTTCTTACATGGAAGGTACTCTTTTTAAAGTATAACATAATGTAGTTTCTTCTTTGGTCCCCTAGGAAGTAAAATTTTATAACATAATATCTGTTGCTTATTTTAGAGGTCGGTTGGTGATGTTTACAGATGTGTTTACATGTTCATTGGCCTATGAACTTTTTTTCTGAGTCCGGAAGAGTGCTGTTGAAGACACAGAATGGAGTGACCTACGAGCTTCCTGGGCTTTATAATAGGATCTGACCCTGAGCCTCGTAGGTGCAGGACACATAATGGTGTGCTGGGGACAGGGCATGACAAGACCAACGAATAAGGGCAGAATGAACAAGAAACCAATGTATCTTTAGAACCCAAGCATGTGAACCTGCAAAGCAACCAGTTCTCTTCCTATGAACTATGTTAGAAGGAAAATCAAATAAGAGAAATCACATTAGTGGTCCTGGAATCAGACCAAGAGAAAGAGACTCACGGAAAGTTTAATGGCCTCCCAGTAAAGGAATCACAGTGTGTCCAACTTGGATAGGCACTTTCAACATTTGTAACATACTGACACATGCACTCCTGTGCGCTCTCGTGTGTGTGTGTGTGTGTGTGTGTGTGTGTGTGTGTGTGTACACGCATGCACACACACACACACACACACACACACACCTGCTGCCATGCTAAAGAATAATACTTCTTTTTCTTGCAATCTGAAAGCTGTTCAGATTCTTAAAGGTAAATTTATACACAAGTGTTGTTCCATTAGGGTTTTAGTTTTACATTGTAATCTTCAGAATCCAGTTTCTTTCCTTTATTTCTACAATCTTGGGAGCATGCTATTAGTTCAGACTGCTTTCTCTGTGGTGTCCATGGACAACTAGGATACAAAATAACATACTTTCCGATAAACACAGAGTTGCTAAACACAGGGTTTCACTATGTAGTCCTGGCTTGCCTCAAATTCAGAAATGTACCTGCCTCTTCCTCTTGAGTGCTGAGACTAAAGAGATACGCTACCTGTGCCAGCAGTGTTTGCCCTGCTCTTAATGAAGCCTATAACATCAAGAAGTGAACACGCCAGTAACAGGGAACGTCATTCCATTGTCTTGGGAAAGAACTTTTGTACCATTCTGTTGTAGAGGTGGCCCTTTAAACTTTAACATTTGTATACAAATGTAAGACCCTAGGGCAAGGATTTCTGCTTTGCTCCCTAATGTATGTCAAGTGCCTACACTATAGGAGTGCTCAATAAATACTGATTGAATGAATAAACAAATCGATACAACCTATAATCTCAACAGTGAATTTTGGAAGTCAAATATCAGGAAATCAGACTAAATACGCATTGTCAGTTGATGCCTCCCAGTGAATGAACTTTCAACATGCTTTTATTTGTGTGTGTGTGCACATCTGTGTGGGTGTACAAGTGTGTCAGTGTGGATGTGGAGGTCAGAAGACAATGTTCTGCAGTTGGTTTTTTCCCTCTGCCATGTGAGTCCTGGGAATAGATATTGGGCTTGGTGGCAAGCACCTTACCCACCCCCCCCCCCAGCCATTCTGTCAGTCCACTCTATTGACTTCAGCACATCATTCTTAAACAAAAACCTCAGATAATGGATTCTAAGGCAGGAGATGGTGGTGCACACCTTTAATCCCAGTACTCAATTGGCAGGGGCAGGTGGGTCTCTGTGAGTTCAAGGGCAGCCTAATCTACAGAGTAAGTAAGCTACACAGAGAAACCCTGTCTCAAACAAATAAGCCAAACCAAACCAACCAAACAAACAGAAACTGGATTCCAATGACTGAAAAAAAAAATGCTGTATAGCTAATAAAATGTCTGACATGTATGGTGGAATTTATCAACACAAAAATTTTAACTTATAATTCTCAATTTTCTCTTTCCTCCATCATTTTATTCTTTAATTTACAATTCACGCTTGAAAGTCGTAGGGAATTCTTTTTTCTTAAACAGACATGGAGTGTTAAGCCAGCAGGACGATCTTACCTATGACTTTGTTCTTCTTCCCATTTTTTATAGGTGTGCAAAGCAAACTTCCAATGCGATGTGTGCTCGTACGCCCTGTGTTTTCATTCTAACAAAGAAAAACAAGATTGCTGGATCAACAGAAATCATTTGCCCCACAAACACCATATTAACTGTACAGCACAGGCGAAATAACACATATACTCATCTTGGATTAGCTATGGGAAACAAATTATAATGAGGTTTGCATAAGGACAATATAGTCAGCCTTTATGAGAATAATAATAGCAAATGTCCTTTATCTGGTTTAAACTTTCCAAAGAGTTATAGTAAGTCAAATATTATTTGGCGCCTGCTATTTGGTGAGGGAGAGGCCCCAATTTAACAAGGAAGCAGAATCCAAAAGCCTGGAAACAACACACTACAATATTGACCTTCTTAATAATACCACCGCAACTGAAGCCTACACTTCTGAAGTTTGAAAAAAAAATTCTAAGTACGCAGGCAACAGAAACAAGGCAGCTGCGTCACAGACTAATATTTTTGAAAGATTAAAGACAAAACTGGAATTCAAAGCGTGGAGTGTCTGAAGAACACATCTTTGTGATTTCACTGTCGAGGCAAATGCATAGCTAAGGAGCAGCTCATTAAGAAGATTGCCAGCCATGTGCATCCAAACCATAGGGACCTTAATGTTCACAGATAAATTCAGAAAAATCCATCTGAGGAAAGCCGCCGACACCACGGTGGTAAATTACCTCAATGTGTACATGCCGGTTTGTTGCTATACAGAGAACAGAAAAAAACACCAAGCACACCTTCCCCAGCGAGTTTGAGCTATTTTACCATCCCTCCCTTGAGCAGGAAAAACAGAGATCACCCTTAAACAGCCAGTTTCCAGCCCAGTCCTTCAGACAAGGAACAGCTGTAGGTATAGGTCTGACGGGAAAACAGCTTGTGTGCATCAGGTCTAAAATTAGGTTACTTACTGTCCAGGGAAATCGTTTGTCCTTAGCGACATCAGGGATATTAAGTGGCTCCATTGTGTTCTTGACATACTGAGCATACATGTAATTGATTTTGTTTGCATCATGCTCCCTGCAGAAACAATAGATGGTAAGTTCCTTCTATGCAGTGGGGAAATGTGCACACACAGGACTAAACAAAAGGGGCGGGGGAGGAGCCAGCAGCCGTGAAGTACAGGCGAAATCCACGTCTTAATTTGAAAATGTGTTAGATAATTACAGCTCATTACTCCAATCTAGATAGTCTGATTCAACAAACACCCACACAGTGCAGGCTGTCTAGAAGAGCAGTTCTCAACCTGTGGCGATCCTATGTCAGATATCATGCACATCAGATATTTCCATTATAATTCACAACGATATCAAAATTACAGCTATGAAGTAGCAATGAAATAATAGTGTGGTTAGGGATCACACAACATGAAGAATGGAATTAGAAAAGTTGAGAACCACTGGCCTAGAACAAGTTCTAAGAATGTTCTTAGTCATCCAATCACAGGTCAAACATCTGGAGCTTAAAAATGTTTAATGCAAGCATATGAAAAACTCCCAAATCCAAAATGTTGTCAACACTGATAGGAGGCCCCTAGTATAGAATTCCACACCTGACTTCTTGTGACTAGCTACAGTTGATAGGTAGGCACATTGAAAATATTGTATAAATTACTTCCAGGCTATGTGCATGGAAAAATTAACTTCTCATTTAAACTTACATACCATATCTCATTATGTGCATACAAATATTCCAGTATCTAAAAATTTCCTGAATCAGAAAGATGTTTGCCCAAGCATTTCAGATCAGAGATTCTCAATGTGCAAGAGTGTAAATAATGATCGTGTCCACTTTTTGTGTCATTTAATGTAAAATTTGTATTGATTCTCTCACTCCATGTCTTATTTTATCTGACCACAGAATGCCTAAGGTGTGGTACTTGTGCTTCCTTAACCATTATTTTGAGAATACCTATCTCAATAAGACACTCTTTTACAAAAATTAAAATAAAGGGAAATATCAAGAAGACCTAAAAGAATTGTAAGGGTTCTCTCTAGTTGTCTCTCCCTCCTGGTGTGTCTGTCTATCTGTCTGATATGCCTATTTTAATTGTAGTTAACTAACTGAAAAGTAGGAGGTGGTATTTGAAAATGAATATATACCTTAAGCATAAGATACCTCCCTAAGCTATTGGTTAGTGAAGCCCCTCCTAGCGAAGTAGATGTAATGGTTCCAGAAGGTACCATGCAAGCTTCAAGGTAAGGAAGCAGCCAGCAATACTACTCAAGTATGATATCTATGAACCACAACAAAGAGCAGTGCGGCAGGATAACCCCAAGGGTTCAGTAGCAGCATGAACATCTCAATGGTACTCAACAGCTCTCTAATTGGACATAAGACTCAACAAGAGGGAACACATGCCTGGTACTGGAAACCAAGCCAACAACACAGGACTAGTGACATCGTGAATCCTGGAGAACCTACAGCCACTGCCTTACAAAACCAGCATAATTTTTAACTACATTCTAAATATCTGTCCTTATACCCATAGATAAATGTTGTTCTCACCCCTCATAAAACTATTTGCAATAGACAGAGACCACTACAGAAAACCACAATCAATCCAATTGCAGAGTTGTGAAGCCCAGATTCCACTGATCCACCTATAACACAGCTTCTGTACCTAAGGCTTGGGGATCACTGTGGAAGAGGACGAAAGATTCTAAGAGGCCGTGGATCAGGGAATTTGCTGGAAATTGTGTCTCCTAGGAAGGTTACACCCATAAAGTCTCACTAACATGACTGCCTCAACATGAGCTGAACAAGGTTGACACACCAATAGACATGCTGAAGTGGACGGGAGACATCTCACAATGCCTTAATCCTACAAAAAAAAAAAAAAAAAAAAAAAAAAATCTATAGGCAACTAAGGACTGTTGAGAGGGGAAGAACCGTCTTCCCCAGGGAAGAGCACACAAATTAGTTATCCAATACCAAATGGTCAGCCTGAAAAACATTTAAGTACAAGTAACATTTTACAGACTAAGGATGTTGTTGTACTTCTGTATTTAGTAACACACACATATACACACACACACACACACACACACACACAGGAAAAATAGAAGCCATGACTTTAAAAGAGATGAGGGGGGTGACGTGAGAAGGTTTGGAGGGAAGGAAGGGAAGCAGAACATGATGTAATTATATTAAAATCTCAAAAAAATAAAATAAATAATAAATAATTAAAATTTTTTTAAATCTTAAAAAAAAAAAAAAAAAAAGAGTTATTAGCCAGGGAGTCCCCAGAGGTCTCCAACACAAGCCATCACAGCTACATAGTAAAACCTCTCTGCTGAAGACACTGTATACTTTGACTGCAAGACATAGAGGAATCAGCCTGAGACGAAGCAGGGCTCGTCCTCCCAGATGGCTAGCTTTGTCAGGCTTCTGGGGAATAGAAGACGTCTGGGTCTACCGAGTGCTGGACTCCGTGTGCTGCAACACTGACCTTCATGCAACAGATACCCACTGTGCAAACAGACAGACGATTATTATGGGATAACTACTTAATTTCTGGTTGAATCTGAGGCCTGCTCCACAGGAGGGGTTTTCTTGTAATCCCAGTCAAAGGCCCACAGTGGGGAAGGCCATGGGCCCTAGGAAGAAACTACTCCTGTAGCTTTCTTTTTTCTTCCTTTCATTTTAATTTATTTTTATTTTATGTGCACTGGTGTTTTGCCTGCCTGTGTATCTGTGTGAGAGCATCAGATTCCCTGGAACTGTAGTTACAGACAGTTGTGAACTGGCACATGGATGCTGGGAACTGAACCTGAGTCCTTTGGAAGAGCAGTCAGTGCCCTTAACCTCTGAGCCATCTCTCTGAGTTCCTACTGTTGTTTTCTTAAATGTTCAAGTTGTCAAATGGCTCCCTGAATATTTATGTTTCTGCCCACAGACCCTAGCTGTTCTCAGTCTCCATCAGAGAAAGTTGTTTTTTATGCAGTGGGCAGCTGAGGTGTTTGAATGAGAATGGCCCAAATAGGCTCCTGTATTTGAATGCGTGGTCCCGAGTGGTCGAACTGTTTGGGAAGGATTAGGACAATGGTTCTTAACCTGTGAGTTGTGAGCCTTTTGGGGGTCAAATGGCCCTTTCACGGTGTCACATACCAGATAATTTACATTAGGATTTATAACTGTAACAAAATTATGGTTATGAAGTAGCAGCAAAAATAATTTTAATTTGAGGGTCACATCAATACACAACATGAAGAAGTGTATTAAAGGGTCACCGCATCAGGAAGGTTGAGAACCTCTGGATTAGGAGGTGTGGCTTCGTTGGCAGAAACATTGTCACTGGGGGTGGGCTTTGAAGTTCCAAAAGACTTGTGCCTTTCAATTGGTTATGGTGTGTTCTCGAAGCATAATAATAATAAAGCCTAATTATGACAGCAGCAATGCAATCAATGCACAATTGGTTTAAGTGCCAAGAGTAAGAGGATGAGTTCTCAGTCCCCAAGGGACATCGGTATCACTGACCGCTCCCCACCAAGGCTCACTCAGTGTCCTGGAAGAGGTGGAAAAAGGTTAAAAGCTGGAAGGTGGGGAGGTTCAGGGAAATGCTGCTTGGACATCGCATAGCTATTATAATCAACTTCTCACAGCAGCTGCTCAAGAACTGCACAAAATCCAGTCAGCCAAGAGCCAGGCCTAGAAGGGAGAGGTGCTCTCCAGGCCCACTCCCTACTGAGAGCCATTGGCAGTTATTGGGAGAGAACCATTCTTCTTGAGTGGTGTTCCCGCAAGCAGGTTTCCCTGTGTGCCCATACACACATGGGCAACACAAACTGGACTTAGTTACTAAAAACAGCATGAAATTGGGAAGAGGACATTTTGGGATGTTATGGAAGAATCAGAGGAAGAAAATGGGGATATGATCATATTTAACTGTATATATGTGTAAAATTCTAAAGAATAAAGAACAATTGTAATCTAAAAAAAGAAATACATGTCTTAGGGAAGGAACTTTTCCTGGATCTAAGTTTTCAAAGTTCCAATAAGGTGCCCGTCTACTGTCCTATTTACCCAAGTTATATCTTGGGACAGTGATGTCATATGACATTCCACAACGACTCAGATATTTCGGTATTCTCTTTCTGTCTTCTGTAGTCTAACTTAATTGTAATAAGGTCAATTAGAGCTCCATGCTCTCAAAAATATTATGTATAAATGAAAAAGAATGAAGGAAATTACAAATGTAGCAAAGGAAAAGATGAACGAGATGAACTTCCAGCTTGACCTTGAAAGCATGCAGACTGCCTTGCATAACAGACCTCCTGGGTCTAATTTCACATATTATCCGTATGACATTCAAGCAAAGGTCAAAACTGTAGGTTTGAGGCCAATAAGCAATACTTAAAACTATGAGTATTTTTTTTAACAAACAATAGCCCAGGGAAATGAGAAGAAGCCATAGCAGAGAAAGGAATAATAAAGAGATTGCTATGGGGGGAGAACAGCGGACAAGATGCCTTCATATAAGACTCCCGCAGACTAATAATAAAAATAGCAATATAATCCATACTATTCTTACCATTATCATCACAATTACGTTGACAACAGGAGTCAGGAGCAATCCAAACTGCCCAAGACACCCTGCTAGACCTATAACTCAGAAATAGGAGCTGGTGTAGAAGCATGAGCTCTCCAACAGTTACATAACATTGTGGCTATTTCCTACTTCATAAAGATGTTGATAAATTGCTTCCCATGCTCAATAAATACAGCTTGAACACCTGTTCCCTGAGAGGCGTTCTTCATACTATGTAAAAGAAAAACAAACTCACACGGGTCAGTCATCATAGTGAGGAACTCAGACTCTAGCAGGAAGCTGCAATGGAGCGATAGTTTTAGTTGCATATCCTGTTTGGGCAGCATCCAGTATAGATAATGCCAGCTGCCCCCAAATAACTCCTCTGAACACAGAGCTACCCAGAATAAAGAATGCATTATGCTGCAACCTAGAGAGTTAGTGTTATAATAGGAGTAAGTCCCAATCAACAGCATGACATGCTTATGTGGGACAACTTCTAGAATACTGATGAATGTATTTTGCCCCTTTGTCCCCTATTTAAGACACGATGTGATGGACAGGGTTCCATGCTGCTAAATGGACAGAACACACCTATGGGGTGTAAGGTTGAAGGCATCTGAGATCTTGGGGCATGTGGACAATGCCCCAAGTACAATGTCTGCTTTGACCTGCCTACCTCTGAGCATATCCAGGAGACAGTAATAAGACTGCATTCTTCTTAAATTTATACTTTTTCATTTTTTTGAGAATTTCCTACATGGGTACAGTAGTCACACCATTTCTAACCCCCTTCATCCTGTTCAACTCCTGTGCCTCCCCTACTCCCAAACCCATGGCTACTTCTTTCATTATTGTTGCTACATATATACATATGTGTATATAAATACAACCTGCTAAGTCCATTTAGTGTTTCTCCTATGTGTATGTGTTTAGGGCTGACGACGTAGGATTGCATAACCTATCAGGAACTCATCCCTAGAGAAGAGGGTTTCCGCCTGTCTTACCAACCATTAATTTCCTGTAGTTCTTCACCTAAGATTTTTTTCCCCGCCCATGCTGGCCTATCAATGGGTGTTATCATTCTACAGGTCTTATTTAGGTGACCATACTGTTATGATCATGGGTAATAGCTTTCCCATCATATATAGAGGACACCATTTTGCATTCTTGTTTAAACTTTTTGTTTTTATTTTAGATGTTCATGATTCACAACTAAAAGTAACCCTCCTAACAGTGCAAACACAACATGTAGAGAAGATGGACAGATAGCATCCAAATGGATCAGCTTAGGAAAGAGATGGCATTACAGAAATGCTTACAAAGCTAGTCAAGCATTAAGAAGGGAAAAGAAATAAAGAAAGAAAAGTGGGGTGGAAAAATAGGTAGAAAAATAAAAGAGTGACAATATAAAACACATTGATGACATGAATAAGTTCTCCAAACATTTGAGAGATATGAAATAGTTGCAGATTAACTCGGGCGGCTGAACTCTAGTGTGGAAACAGCCATATTAGTGGCAACTGCAGCTAAGTATTTAGTTAGCGCCATGTCTCCCGCCATTTTGCTGGTATAGCCTACTGTGAGTCTGTGAATGAGTGCATGGAAGGTGTTTGTAAAACGTATAAAGAACATCTAAAGAGAATGAATCCCAACAGCCCCTCCATTCTGTATGATGTCCGTCAGTTGCTTGATTTGGTTGACAACCTGGCAGATTGACAATCTCAGCTGTCTTGTTTGACCCCTTTGTTCCTTTCTTTCTTTTTCACCTAATCAGTTTTATGACAATTCAGACAGAATGTGTTCTTTGGCGGGTAAGGTTGATTCTAGCCCTTGAATCTACTTTGTAGCAGTGAGTGCACTCACCCTTCGTGGGGGAGTGGGGGGCACGACAAGGTCAGTTATGTCCTCTGGGAAAGTCTTAGTGAAATAATAAAGTGGGTGTTTCTGGCCAAAAATGTTTGGCTAGATAGAATAGAGAGTGAGGGCTTTCAAAGTGTAATACAATGAATATGGAAGTCATCCTTTATGTAACAGCAATATCGTGGTGGCCTTTAAAAAATGCCTTAGAGATTAAGCCATGCTTAAGAGATTAAGTGCATGTGGCTGATCTTTAGAGCCCACATTCGAGGCCATGCCTCCCAGGGCTGTCCAAGACTGAGCCCACCAGGACATAAAATCAAGACTGTTCTTCCAAGACCCGTGATTCTATAGCAAAGAAACCCAGTAAATCCAGTAAGATAAGGCCACGTGGAAATACATAGATTAATAGTTATGAGTTAATAGCTCAGAGAGCTAGCCAGTAAGAAGCCTAAGCCACTGGCCACACAGTTCATAATTAATATAACCCTCAGTGTGTTTATTTGGAATTAAATGGCAGTGGGACCAGGCAGAATAGAAACTTCTGTCTATAGAGCTGCATGAGAGGAAATTCCTAAGAAAGCGGGGGAGGGGGTTTGGGGAAGGCAAGCATTTCTGAATTCCACAAGTCCACTATAGACTGATGTAAACCAAAACCACGCCCAGGACAGCAGTTACAGAGGCTACTAGAAAGGTTTTTGAAGAAATTTTACAGGTATTAGGCTCAGTCAAACCTTACTACAATTTGATCATTACAGAGGAAGGTGCTGAGTCTTCAGGGGTTAAATAATTTGTACAACAGTTAGTACGAATCAAAACCTAAAGTTAATTACACCCTACTATACTCTACATTCCTCCACTGGATGTCCAGTTATTTTAGCATTAATTTTTCTTCAATTGAACTATATGTGTTTTTCCAAATTTAATAATCAATAAGAAGTACATATATGTGTACATAATATATATACACTATATATATGTATACGCTATACACACACATACACACACACATATATATATATATATATATATATATATATATATATATATATATATATTCCAAGGTGAATTTGAAGGAATAGTTCTTGTGTTTCTCATGTCATACTGATAAGGCATATTTATTTTTAAAAAAAAAACATAAAAATCACCTATATAGAATGGCAGAACTAAAATGTCTACTAAAAAATAAAAAATTAACATGAACTCCATATCACAGCACAGAAAGGAATCCACTACACTAACCATTTGGAAATGTACCCCACTTCTGGAATCTTGAGTGATAAGCCAGTTTCCAAGAACTGACTAACTTCATCCTACTAATGCGACAATTCTAATGAAGATAAACAGGCTTCATCAGAACAGTTGTTCACAATTTGTTATCTAACATTTCAAAGCTGTCAATATATTACTTTAACATAAGAAATAAAATAATGATCTACAGCAGTCATGAATTTTTATCTTTTATTGTTTTAGACAGGTCTATAGTCCATGTTGGCTTTGAATATTCTACAGAGCTAAGGATGACTGTATGATCCTACCCCCTAACCACCTCTGTCTCTGGAGTGCTAGGATTACATGTGTGTAACCACACCTAATTTACGCGATGCTATTGACCAAACCCAGGGCTTTGCGCATGCTTGGCAAGCACTTTATCAATTGTGTTGCATCCCTAGTCTCAAGACCCACAATTTTGAATCAATAGATAAGAGCTTAAAAATGAAAATGATTTATTTAACTGTTCACATAAATAGTATGGCACTTCATCTCATGGGTGAGTTCTGAACTACTGAAGTGTTTAATACTGATAAGTAGAGAGTGTCAAATCACTGTACCAAAAGTAATCCATTCTAGGAATAAAATAATTGGCTAATAAACAGGAAGGTCAATATTAACTTGACACCTTCTCAAAATGTTAAAGTTACCAAACATTTTTTATAGTTCAGTTTTCCTAAAATTAAGCCTAACATCTAATTTTAATTTAAAAACCATTTTAAATAATTTTATCCAACGAATAAGTGGTCTTTCACTGCATCATCAGAATAAAGGCAAACTATGAAATAACAGGCTGACAAAAGGCATTGATAGTGAATGGTTTTCATTGTGTAATATTAATTTAAAAATCAGTTAGGATTTATCTCTTTTAAAAAAATCGCACTAGCATATTTTATCACTCATAAAATATTTTATAAATGACTTGAATGGAACATAATTATAAATGGTAAAATATCTCCCATTTGGCCTACAGAGAGAACTCATCAAAAAGAAATCAAGCATAAATCTTGGCTTTTGCTATTTGAAAAATGTGTATTTACCAGTAGAGGTCACTATCACACAAGACACGTGGTTTGTCCAGCCATCACTAGATATTAGATGACTTTGACTGAATTTATAATAAAAATTAAAATGCAAGTATAAAAATTTAGTTATACAGATACATACTGCAGTATAAATATTAAAAGGTAAATTTAGATGACTTGTTTTATATTTTTAACAAGCATCAAATGATTCATTTTGTTTTATGGAGGCAAAGGCAGTTATATATAATAATGAATGCATACTTACTCATATTTATATGTAGTAATAAAAGCAACAAAGTCACTACAGAATTACAAGATCAAATTACACACACACACACATATACACACAGACATACACATATATGTATATATAACCTAAGAAATAAAAACTATGATAAATGGTACCTCACCTTGGTAAATATTTATCCTTTAGAATATCCTATCCTTTAAGAGAACAATACAATTTTTAGGTATGGGTGAAAAAAAATACTAGTACAAATATTTAGTAGTTTGTCCTAAATCCACTTCAAAACTTCCAAAAAGCACTTGCCAGATGAAGACAACCACACCTGTCGACTCCATCATGCAAACACAGCACACACTTTTCACGGTAAGAGCAATTAACAGACAAATGAGCACATATTTAGAAACTACGGGAAAGAAGTAGATGAATAGATCTGATTTGACCTAGCCAGAGGGGGAACGTAGATTTCTAAGGTTAGCATTACCAGCCTCCTTCTGTTAGTAGTTAAATTCTCATGGCTGATTACAACTCAATATAGATTTACAGAAAGGGCTGCCAGGGAATCTGTGGTATTTCCATATATGCAAGCAAATATGTAATTGAAGAACAGTACTTGTGGGTCTTAACTGAATGAGTTCATAATAACAATAGAGTGAGGCCTGTGCTAATTAATGTGTTATTTCCTGTAAGAAATGATTCTCAGGTCAATGTAGTAGAAAACTCTTGCATAGTAATATAAAAAAATGTATTCTGAGAAATAAAAGTTATCTTTGCAGGGGAGACAGCTTGTCGCTTAAACACCTTAAATCACACTAGCAACAAGGCAATCATTTAGCAGCACCATATACTGTGACAAAGACAAATGGAGAAGTTATTTTACCTTGTTAAAGTATCGGATGATTTTCCTAATTCCTCACACTCCATGTGGAACACACTAGAGAAAGAGTCCTGAAAACAGAATAACAACATGGGTCGAGACATTCGACATGTAATGAAAGCTCCCCATACACAGACATACCTGCTGTTCAACACTGAGATACCAATGTGTGAACATATTTTCCATATTCTTAAACTAAGTAGATCCAAGCACAAAATTCACAATATCCTCAAATATGCTTTCTATAAAGACTCAAACCACTTCTCATTTTACTTCTAAAGAGCTTTTTGAGTACACACTTGAGCTGCTAGTAAATCCTGTACATTTTAATTATTGATATGTTCATGTGCGTTCGTGTGTGTGTTTTCATGTGCATGTGTGTCATGAGTGTGTATGTGCAACTGTGTTGATTATGTGTGTGCATGTGTGTTCATGAATGTGAGTGTGCATGTGTTTAATTGTGTGATCATGAGTGAATGTATGTGTGTGTTCATATGCATGAGTACTTGTATATGTGTTTGTGTGTGTGTGTGTGTGTGTGTAAGAGAGAGAGAGAGAGAGACAGAGAACGAATGTGTATGCCAGAGGACATCCTCTGATGTCACCCTCAGAATGTTGTCAATTTCCTTTAACTTGGCGCTCACCAGCCTAACTGACTGACTGATGAGCTCTAAGGATCCCGTCTCTGCCTCCCAAGCACTGCTATTACAAGCTTGCACTAACATGTTGGCATTGTTCTGATATCAAATTCAGGCCGTTACGCTTTCAAGGCCAGAGCTTTGCTGGTTCAACTATTTCCCCAGCACAAAGAATTCTTTCCTAAAGAGCTATACTGCTTGGAAATATTTTGCAAGAGCAATAAAATAATTATGAAGACTTATAGATATCAGGAAATAGTTTTGCATTATATCACAAAACATAATTCATATTGCTCCATGTTGCACTTACAACTGAATGAAGAGAAATTGGAAGGAAACACAAACATAAGACAAAAAAAGTTTATCTGGGAGTGGAAGAAATGAGTACATTTTGTGGGGTCTTACATTTTTAATTTCACTCATGTTGAAGTAGTTTTAAACCACAAAAACTATAATATCACCTCAACTAATTTCTTTTCTAAACCTAATAATGTGTGTCTTCCAAAGAGAGCAGAGTATGTTCTTAGCCATACTGTTGAGCTGAGACCCACACTGATATAAATCAGATTGTTACCTTGATAAATATTAGCTGTTAAAAATCCCATTGAGTATTAATAAAGTGAAATTTCAATTTCTTTTTAAAGGAATGCTTCTGTAGAAAACTTTAAAAATGTAAATGATAAAGAGAAGGCCACAGAAGAAAAATGATAAGTTGGCATATCAAATGAATGAAATCTGACCCGAACTTTAAAAAGTTAGCAACTATTTTGTAATCATTTTATATTAAATTATAACTGAATAAAAATATGAAATTGTAGCTCTCCATGAAAATACTGATTATTGCTTTGTTACAGTGAACTGTTATTTGATAAACTATTAATAAGAATTTTATACTAATCGATGTACCCATTCTATACACACAATAATGAATTATCTTAATATCTAAGCCAATTAAAATATTTAAATGACTGGATGTCTTTTATTATTCTACTTCTGCCAGAAATAACAACTCTGACTTATAACTGACATATCCAAGTGACAATACTACTCTTTATCTCCTAATAACCTTAGACTATAGGAAGAAACCTTTACCACCATAAGGAATATTCCACTGGGTCATACAGTGAAGAGGGGTAAAATCTGCATAAAGAAACTGGCAGGCCAGCACTCTGACTCTCAAGCAAACACAAGGCAGAAACTCCACGAAACATTCAAGTATAAGTAACCAGCCCTGTAAAAAGCTCCAGCTCTCACCAGGAAAAGCTGTCTAACAATATGCATCAATGGACTTAAATCTATGAATAAGAGCAGTCATTTCCTGTTGTTGGTAAATGACATAGGACTTACAAATACTTTTAGTTCTACCCACCACCCACCTAGACCTCCTGGCTTCTAAATAATTTCTGGTAGGAAAGAAACTTTTATAGTCAACCCATGTGTTTTAGGTACCAGAGCACCACAGTTCTTGACCAAGGTGTTTCCCTGATAAGGCAGAGCAGCCATTGTCAGGGGCAGCACATTGACATCCATGGTCAGTGGCAGGACATCGAAGGCTCTTGCTGCCCTCAGTTCCACTCCATTTCAAAAACATTTCGTCCTTGTTTTGTTTTTTTGCCTAAATACTCATATACAGTTGGAGTTGTGGTGGGTTCTAAGGTAAAAATTGGGCCTAAAAGTAGGAGGCGCTTTTAAGAATACATTTCCATCTTGCAAAAAACAGCCACACTCTGTACTCACAGAGCAGTCTTCGTCCACGATGAATATGGTGCACTTCTGCACCTGCATGAAGGAGATAATAGTGGCAGCTATTTTCTTCAGAATTACTTCTAATGACTGCTGCTCTTCGAATATTAAGCTAGCAAGGTCAAGCAATACCTAGATGAGAAAAGGTGACAGCTTATGATGTAGTTGTGTGTAGAATAAAGATACAATGGGTTAAAGGTTGTGTATGTGCAAGTTCCCATTCATGGCTGTGGAGCTAAATACACCTCTGCACAGATCGTTGGTATAGTCAGAATAGTAGAAAAATTATATGTACTTAAGATGATGTAATCAGTTTCTAATTTTTCAGAATATCACACAAAAATCTCACCAACAGAGTAAAAGACATGGAAGACAGATTAGCAGGTCTTGAAGACGAGGTAGAAGAAATGAATAGCTCAGTAAAAGAAAAAATTAACTCAAAAACAAAGGGGAAAAAATGTGCAAAACATGCATGAATCATGAGTTCTGGGATACTATGAAAAGAATAAGTCTACAAATAATAGGTATAAAGGGAAGAGTAGAAACCCAAGTCAAAGGCACAGTAAATATTTTTTAACAAAATCAAAGAAAAAAAAACCTCCCTAAATCTTAACAAAGAGATGACTGTCAATACAAAAGAAGCATAAAGAACACCAATTAGAACCAGAAAAGAAACTCCCTGTGACACACAATAATCAAAACACTAAATGTACAGAAACAAAGAAATACTAAAACCTGCAAAGGAAAAGACCAACTCACCTATAAAGTCAGGCCCATTTGAATAACACCTGACTTGTTAATAGAGACTTTGAAAGGCAATATGGCCTTGACAGACCTTTACAAACTCCCGAAGACCACAAACACTAGCCTACACTACTATACAGCAAAACTATCAATCACAATTGATGATGAAAAGCATGTCAAGATTAATACAATTTCTGTCCACCAACCCAGGTCTATAAAAGGTACTAGAAGGAAAGCCTCAGTCTGAAGAGGAAGCTAACTGTGCCAAAAAGGACACATGGAACAACAAAACAACAGGAATTAATAACTTAATGTTAATAACTCTTAATATTAAAGTATTAGTTTTCCAATAAAAAATACAGATTAACAGATTGAATTAGAATACAAAATTCATCTTTCTGTTGCATCCAAGAAACACACCTCACCACCAAGATCAAACATCAACTCAGGGTGAAAGGATGGAAAATGGTTTTCCAAGCAAATAGAACCATGAAGCAAACAGGTGTAGGTATTTTAATATCTGACAGAATAGACTTCAAACCAATACTAATCAGAAGAGCTAGGGAAGGACATTAAATACTCATTAAAGGAAAAATATACAAGAAAAATTGTATTTATAAACTTTAATGTACCAACACAAAGGCATTCAAGTTCATAAAAGAAACATAACTACAACCAAAATCATGTGTGGACATTAACACAGTGATAGTTGGTGACTTCAGTTCACCACTTGTACCAATAAACAGATCATCACAACAAAACTAAACAGAAAAACTCTGGACTTAAATAACAGCATAGATCAAATATACCTAACACATCTATAGAACACCCAAACCAAAAGATGAAGAATATACTTCTTTCTCAGGAAGGAGCCAATGGAACTTTCTTCAAAATTGGTGACATATTAAAAAACAAGGCAAGTCTCAACAGATACCAAATAAATTGAAATAACACTGCATTTCTCTGAATGAGAATGGCCCCAAAAGCTCATGTATTTGGATGTCTTGTTGGTCAACTGTTTAGGGAAAGATTAGGAGCTATGGCCCTATTGAGGAAGTGTGACCTTGTTTGAGGAAGTATGTCACTAGGATGGGCTTAGATGTTTCAAAAGCCCATGGCTCAGTCTCTTTCTCACTCCCTCCCTGTTGACAGCAGACAGGACAAGATGTACTCTTCTACTCTCAGCTACTTTCCTGAAGCATGCCTGTCTGTCTGCCGCCATGCTCCCTGTCATAATGATAATAGACTAACTCTCAGAAACTGTAAGCAAGCTCCCAATTAAATGTTTTCTTTCATAAGATTTTCTTAAGGTCATGATGTCTCTTCACAGCAACAGAACAGTAACTAAGACAAATGTCCTGCATCCTATTTCACCACTGATGAGAGATGTCATTCTGTAAATATGTTTCCCTTATTGGTTAATGAATAAAGCACTATTGGCAAATAGGAAAGCAAGAGAGGCGGGACTGGGAGACAAGGAGGATTCTGGAAGATGTAGTAGAAAAGATTCAAGATGTAGAAACTTGAGAGAGGAAGAGGTCCGGACCCTCTCTCCAGTAAAAGACTACGTGGAAATTGATTGATAGAAATGGGTTAATATTTAAGACAGAGCTAGCCAATAAGAAACACTAGTAACAGGCCATCAGCTTTATATCTAATACAGTGTCTCTGTGTATTAATTGGGGCTGATGCGGCTGTGGGACAAGGCTGGCAGGAAGAATACTCATAACACACCACCATAGATTAAAGCTGGATATCAACAACAAGGCAAATGGTGAAATTATAAAAACTCATGGAAGCTAAACAACTCACAACAGAATGAAAACTGATCAAGACAGATATCAAGAAGGAAATTAAAACTTTTAAAGAATTAAATAAAAATGAAAACACAACACACCCAAACCTAGGAGGCAAGTACATAGCACTGACTGCTTATATTTTTTAAGACAGGAGAAATCTCATAATAATAACTTAATAACATACTTAAAAACTCTAGGGAAACAAGATAAAATAACCCCCAAAGAGAGTATATTGGAAGAAAGAGACTCATGGCAAAAAACCAATGAGGTAGAAACACTACAAAGATTTATAAAACAAAGAGTTGATTCTTTGCGAAAATGTATAAGAGTCATAACTCTATATCAAATTAACCCAAGGACAGAGATATATCCAAATTAATAAAATTATGGATAAAAAGGGGATATTACAGATGACTTGGCAGAAATCCAGAGACTCATAGGACTATAGAAACTATATGTACTATAGAAGCCTGTATTCCAAACTGAAAAAAAAAAAAAAACTAAAAGAAATGGGATGAGTTCCTTGATATAAATGGCCTACCAGTGTTAAATCAAGATGAAATAAATAATTTAAAGAGATCCATAATCCCAAGTAAAATAGAAGCAACAATTTAAAATCTCCTGATTGAAAAAGCTCAGGGCCAGATGAGTTCAGAACAGAGTATTACATGGTTTCTCTTACATATGGATGATAGCTTTTAAGCATTGTATATGTATATTTCTAGCCAAATAACCAGAGGGTAGGTGGTTAGTAAGAGATAAAAATGGAGTAGGAGATATTCCAAGGAAGAAGAAATAGAACATAGTGTTGTAAAGAGATAAAGGAGAAGCTTGAATAGGAAGGTGAAATGGTGAGGGGGGGGAATAGGAGGGCAAGGTAAAGGAGGGAATATGGGAAAAGAAGGACAACTAACATTACAAGCCTTCTGAACCACCATATGGAAATCTACTTCTGTGGAAGTTTCCTAAAATCAATATATATGAAAAGCAACTAAATGAACTCACTATATAATGGGGAGAGAATGTCCCAACTAGACATTTTATGCCACCAAATAAAACCTCCAATGCTAGAAATGGGTTGCATCCTGTTGAGTCATTGCCAAAAGGGTACCATAGATTAAATGCTAATTAGAGGCTATTGGTTACTTTAGAAAGGTCCTATTGCTGATGATACAACTTTCATCCTAGAACATGGAAACTGAAATTGAGCTGGTGCCCAAATGGAAGCTTCACTCTTACTGACTAGCATTCACGGTTCTAGCAGGCACTTTGCATTCTACCAGAGGAGGAAAGTAAGCATCAGTACAACCCAACTACAAACCTGAGGCCTACAATGGTGACCTGCCTGCAAGACAAAGTCTAACAGTGGCACAAATGCTATGGAAGTAACCAACCACCTTTTTTTTTTTTTTTAAAAAAAAAAATTGGATTTAAGGGCCACTTTATAAGTTGTAACTCATACCAAATACTGCTTAAGTGGCCAAGAATATGAAACTAAATGGGTCATAGGCCCTAGAGGGAACCTACTACTATTTTTTCCTAAATGCAGATAGCAAGAAAATGATTCTTAATGACATATTACCATACCAATAAATCAGTACATCACTCAACCCTTGTCAAATAAGCTTCTTCTTCTTGTAGTAGGTAATAATTAACACAGAGACCCACAAACAGACGATGTACAGAGAGAATGAGACTAGCGAACACCCAGCTTTAAATGAGATGTCTTTATAACCTCGCCCTCGCTTGAAGCTCAGGGATCTATTCACAAAAAGAGGCAAACGATGGTAAGAGGTATTGGACAATTCTAAGAAAACAGAGCCTTCCAGACACAAAAGAACTGAAATACATAGAAGAAACTCACAGACAACACACACATTCACAAGACCTTCACTAGTTCAAGTCAGACAAAACCCAAGCACAGAGAAAGAGAAGTAGACCCAGAGTCCTAACCAAGAAGGTATTTGCAATTGACAACTATGGAGGAAGGGAAAATCAGTTTTCTCCTGTGAGGTGTCCATGGGTATATAAATGTAGGCCCAATGCCCAGAGAGATCTGACCAACACAAACCAATGTGTGTGCTTTTTGATTTTGAAAGGAGGAGGGAGGGAGGGAGGGAAAGGTGGGAGAGAAGGAGGGAGGGAGGGAGAGAAGGGAAGGGTAGAAAGGAGGAAGGAGGGCAGGAAGGGAGGGAGACAGGCAAAGAACATGAAATTGGCTGCTAGGGAGATGAGAAGGGTCTGGGAGGAGCAGAGGGAAGGAAAACTATCATGTAGCACAACTTCTAATTGGGTTAATAATAAAAACTTGGAGTCATCTATCAGGGAGTGGAAGCCGAAGGATCAGAGAAGCAGAGCTTCCAGGACTACAGAGTTCTTACCTCTACCAATGCTCAGACCAAAGGGGCCATCCTGTCCTCAGACTGCCTGCCCTGCCTCACACTCCTCTCTGCCCAGCCCTTCCTATCTCCTCACTATCCCTTCCTACCTCTGCCTCCTTAGTGCTGGGATTGAAGGGGTCTGACTTCCAAGTACTGGGGATTAAAAGTGTGGGCCACCACCACTTGGCTCTGTTTCTCTTTTAGATTGTATCAATTTTCTGTAGCCCAGGGTGGCCTTGAACTAACAGAGATCTGTTTGCCTCTGCCTCCCAGTGCTGGAATTAGGTGTGTGCCACCACTGCCTGGCCTGTATGGCTGACTAGGGTAGCTAGCTCTGCACTCTAATTTTCAGGCAAGCTTTATTTGTTAGACCATAAATAAAATATGACCACATTATGATCCAAAGATGTTTTCTGAGAAAAAATTTAAGTTTTCTTTGATCCTTTGCTTCTGGATGGCATAGAAGTCTTTCCAGAATCCTACAGAGATTTTCTATAAGGCACAGAAAGACTTTTTCTCCAGAAGACTTACTGCATGAGGCACCATTCTAAATGAGGAAGAACGGGATTCATTGAGGTAGACTGCGGGAGGGAAACAGCAGAGAAGAGGTGAAATGAATTATGGGAACATACAGCACAAAAAGATAAGAAGGCTTCACGAGCAGAGGCAGGCTCGCAAAGCCTCATGCTTCTAAACAGGCTGGACTGTGATATAGTACACAGAGGATGTGATTTTACTGCAGCTGGATTTGTAAGATTAAGGACTGAAATGAAAGGTGGTGAGATAAGAGGAGGAGATATAGAGAATTCTACAGTTTAAGACAACTGAATAATATTTTATTAGCACTGGGCTTTTCTTTCCTTTTTTTCGGGGGTGCGGGTTGGGGATCTGTGCTAGGAACTGAACTTACGGCTTCACCCATGGTAGTCAAGTGGTCAGCCACTGAAATATAGTCCCAGACATAGCATTAATTCTAAAAAGAAAAAAATAGAGTGTGGAGAACGTCTTTATCTAAAAAGTAATGAAAAATAAACAGGACTGGAGGTGTTAAAAGAAATGCTGCTAGAATAATTCAACGTGTGTGTGTGTGTGTGTGTGTGTGTGTGTGTGTGTGTGTGTGTGTGTATCTTTAAAATGCTGTAACTCCAAAATTTAAGTCTAAGGGAGGTTACTGAAGAAAAGGATTTGTTTCCACAGAAAATGAAAAGCTGTGAATTCCTTCTAGACTAACATGGTCTGATCAAGCAAGACCCCCTGAAACAGTGTTCTAGGTGATCCAACATTCAAAATAGCTGGGATAAAGCAGCCTTGCAGACTACAGATAGGATTTCTGTGTCTTCTTAGGATCCCTATGGCAGTGCCCCCTACCAGCAGGAAGTAGTTAGGAAAGAAAGACGCCCAAATTCCCAAATATTTTTTATAAATGTTTGTTTTCATTTAAATGGGGTTGGTTATAAATGGTTAATGACCACAACCAATATCTTTAAAGGTAAAAAGGGAATTAAAGGTAAAAAGATATGAATATTTGTTTTGGAATGGATTTTCATTTATTGATACAAATTTAAGGTCAATTTTGTTATAAGTATAGATCTTCTCTTGTTTAGGTATTGTGTTTATATAGCTCATTTTAAAATGTAATGTATAATTTAGTACAGATTTTAGATAGTTACCTATAATAGTCAAAACTTATAGCTAGGTGAGTTAGGTTTTCTAGATATATATTTGAGATGAATAGGCATTCTTCAAACCTTTCAAAGACCTACAGAATATGGCAATTAAAATTGTTTAGGGTTTTTCTTAATAGTGAGACATAACTGCTCCTGGCAATACCACCTGCATTGGAAAGGAAAATGGACATAGAAGAAACGCTTTATGAAGTCTGCCTCCAATATGGCAAAACTAGCCATTTGGGCAAGATACTACTCTTGTCTGGAATGTTTGACTTTATGCTATATAAACTGGACATGCAGGACCCACAGGAAAGTGAATGCTAATAAAAGATGAACATTGATTGCTACAGGATTCCTGCTTCATGAAAGAGTCTGCCAGACTTTCTGCAGGACTCAGAGAAAAATGACTGAAAAACTGCCAGTACAGATGGACAGTTTAAAGTTTCCTGCTTTACTGAGGAGTCTGCCAGACACACTATGGCCTATAGGCTGAAGATGGAACTTTAAAGAAGAAGTTCAGGTGACTGACCAGGCAAGTTGTCTCTGTCACTTTCAGAGTTTATATATTATCCTTTTGTGGTCTTTGAAGGAGTTGAAGGTTATAGTTTTCCTTAATTAGAATTAAAGATAAGTTACATATAGGGCTTTAGACTCACAAGACAGGATACATGATGGTATATTTCTTTAACTCTTACTAAATGTTAATGGACTACATATTGTTAACTGTTATTCTTATTTGATAACTGATGTGTGATATATTTTGCTATGTTAAGGTTCAAGCCCTTCTTTTTATTTCAGACAGAAAAGAAGAGATGATGGGAGATGCCATTCTGTAAATATGTTTCTTTTATTGGTTAATGAATAAAGCACTGTTGGCCAATAGGAAAGCAAGATAGGAGGAACTAGGAGACAAGGAGGAGAGAGGAAGGAGTAGGGAGGAGAGTCAATGTGCAGGAGGGAGAGAGAAGAACACCAGCCCCTCTCTCCGGTAAGGTGAGACCACGTGGAAGTACTTACATTAATAGAAATGGGTTAATATTTAAGACAGAGCTAGCCAATAAGAAATGATAGTAACAGGCCAACAGCTTTATATCTAATACAGCGTCTCTGTGTGTTACTTGGGGCTGGCGTGGCGGTGGGACCAGACTGGCAGAAAAACAACTCATAACAATAGAGTGAGGAGAACATCTTGATCTAAAAAGTAATGAAAAAGGATTATAGAAAACTGGTGGTTTTTCTTTTTCTACAGGCATGGTAAGAAAAAGAGACCTTGTGAAACCAACTTATGAAAACAATGACATTACCAAAATCTTAGAAATACAAAATAATCCATAAACATAATATAAAACATGACACACAAAACTATAACATGTAAAATACCTTATAGATTGTGTGTTTACATGTAATAGATAATACATACAAAGTATGTGTGAAGAGCCAAGCAGCAGAACGTGAATGCTAGTTTAGAAGACAAAGCAGAACCCTTTAAATCAGAGAAACTCAGCTTTCCAGTTCATACCAACCAGAATAATGCAGCAGGAAAATGGGTATCTTATACATGCAAGGATTCACAAGGCTTACCTCATCAATACTGTCCCTTAAACATTCAGCTGATAACATGCTGGAACCAAACAGAATTTAAGCGAACAAGACATTGAGAGATCCAGAAAACAGAATTTTTCTAAGAAAGGTTTGAAGGAAAGTTCCATGCATAGAGGCGGTAGTCTAGGGTAACAGGAAACATGGAAATCCTTAGTTGAGACATCTTAGAAAATATATGAAAGCTACAAGCATGGGTGAGGGGCAGGAACAAGAGATTACATTAGAGCAAACAGTCCAAGAAACGAAGGAAGGAATTAAGAAATGTGGGGGGAAACTTAAGTTATATAGCAAAGGTAATGCAGGTATGTATCTAGAGTAAGTACAAATTAGAAAACTTAAGGAAAGTTCTTAGTGGCTACAGAACAGTATGTACACCTTCAGCAGCAGATAGGAAAACAAATCCAGAAAGTAGGTCGGAGAAGCGGGTCTGGGAAAGACACAAGAAAGACCAAAGATACTAAGATGTCCCTGTGGTAAACAATGGAGTGATGGCTACAGCTGAAAAGCAACAGCTCAAAAGCTTTATTCAGTGACACAAATTCAAGCCATCTAAGTCTCTCAAAGACCAGTGTCTAACAGTGATGGAGCTTTTGAACGTGGAAAATGGAAAAGGAAATGACTACCAGAAAGAAACAGCTAAAATGTTTACAAAACCAAGTCATGTGAATTGAATTTCAATTGTGAGCATTCATGATTCGGGTAAAGACTTAACTGTTTTTAAAAATGAGCTTCCTGCTCTCTTTAGAAATCACACGTACCTGATTTCTTTTATTCTCCAGCAGTGACGTCTCATACAGCTGAGCATTGTGAAGAACAATACCGCAAAATGCCAAATAGGCAGCGAAGTCCTAGAAGAAAGATGACAACAGCCGGATTGGACCTGCCTGCAAAACTGTCTAGGAACATTGCAGTTGAAATAAATGTTAAACACCAAAATGTAGGTGTTTGTTGTGCATAAAATTAGGAACTCATGCAAATTGTCGGCTAAATGGAACTACTAGCAGATGACTAAGTGTTCAGTTTCTTATGTTGTATGGAGAAGAGAAAAGGAATTGATGACTTAATATGAAATTGCAATCTTCTCTATACAAGATTTGGTACAGATTGTATATGGCACTAAGACTCAAGCCGATGAGGGAGCAAATAAATAGCTCATACCTTATTATTGAAGCAAGTGAAGACTCATATTTAAGAGAAGAGTGGCCATAACAAGTCTCATGTAAGGTTGTAAATGAGTTCAAATACATGCCTTTTTAAAAAAGATTTATTTATTTTAAGTATATGGTACTCTATTTGCATGTATGACTTTAAGCCAAAAGGGGGTATCATATCCCACTATAGATGGCTATGAGTCACCATGTGGTTGCTGGGAATTGAACTCAGGACCTCTGGAAGAACATCCAGTGTTCTTAAACCCTGAACCATCTCTTCAGCCCCCAAATGCATTTTTTAAAAATATGATTCTAGAATCCTTTTAATACTACAAGAGGGTGATGTGCTCACATTTAAATTAATGATTAAAGCAATCATTAGATGGAATGATTTATCTACACCAATGGATATATTTTGTCAAGACACAGTCTAAATATTTCTTAAGGGCAGGTTTATTTTAATGAACTAAAAACAGTGGACACGAAGTTTATCTAATAGCCATGCTTTCTAATCAGGTATCCCTGCATAATTAATAGCACAGGTAAAGTGCTCTGACTTTAAAGTCACCTCTTATACTCTAGAGCAATTAAAACATGGGGGCTAACATGTGCGTCAATACTGCTATGTCACAGAAACAAAATTAACTGTCTTGTTTGAATGTCTTCCCAATCTGAAAGCGCCTACTGGTTTTCAGAGGAGCAGTGGTAGCAACATGGCTCAGAGTGGTGGAGAGGCAGTGGGCTATGGTCTAGGATAGATGTAACCCTCATATGCAAGAGAAGAAATCGTACAGCTTTGGAGGACAGAAGTGTAAGCAGACCTAAGGGAGAGCTGGAAAGGAATCTTGTCAATGTGGCATGTGGAATGTGTTCCTTAGGAGCTGAACGGGAATAGTAAAATAACACTGACTGCTGTCCTCTTGGAAGCTAGCTCACACATTGGTGCCCCTCTGCAAAGCTCATACAACGAGGAAATTTGCTTCACCAGGAGGAAAATGCCAGTGTTCAGACAATGCATGGCACAGGGCTCAGAGAACCCTGTGTTTTATTTTGTTTTTTGTTGTTATTGTTGTTGTTGCTTTCCCTCAAGCATGAACTTTTGTACAGTACTTATGGAAAGTACAATGGGATCACTTAGATACAGAGGGACCCTTTGTGTGCACCCAGCTCAGGGGAGGGCTTGTTAGTAGCTCTGTGAGGAGAGAACTCGGGGTTCCTGCTGATTGATACTCAAGCACTCTCAAGTCAAATCAGCACTAGCGTTAGTCGAAGAAATTCTTCTAAAATTCACATCATTTTTTTTTTTCTCTTTTACTCTTAAGAAACGTTTGGTTGAGAATTTCATAGATGAGTTCTGTCTTTACATCCTCTCCATTCCGCCCTATCATCTCTCCAACTTTTCCCATGCCCCTCTCTTAAATTCACAGCTCCTCTTCCTTAATTATTACTGGTACACACTCACCACACACACACGCGCACACACAAATTCACATAATTTTTAACCGTAACACTTTCTTAAGCAACCATGTCAGCACTGCCTAACCCCAGAGGTCATGCACTTTGAAGAGAATGTGTCATTGGAAGCTGGCATTGTGCCAGACTCGGGTTTGGGTACCTTTTCATCCTTCTCAGTGAATGTCCCACCGTTTCCTGATTTCTTGTTGATGGCCTGGGCTACACCAACAACCTAGGATAAGAAGATAAAAGTGACATACTTGTTTTCATTAGCTAGAATTCCTCAGAGTGAATGTGTTTGCAGAGGGCATGGGCTGTTTCAAAGCACAAAGCTGAAAGGCTAAAACAAAACCCGAGTCCAGTCTTTTATTCTTAATAAGGGTAGTAATAGTCCAGATTTCCTGGATCCCAGTTAAATCACATGGGACTCAGGGACTTCAACTTGCATCCAGATTAAGCTAGGTGGTAATTACATTTTAAGTATAGATTCTGCATAGTTTTCAAGTACAAAAACAAAAACAAAGGGAAAAAATGTCTTATATGTCCAATAAAATATACCACTACACAAACATTTTACATTGATCTCGACTATTCCTAAAAGGCTAAGTCCTCATTCCCTGAAGATGAAGCAGGGCCCAGTGTCCAGTTACAGAGGAACGCAGAACCGTCATCCATGCACAAGAACTTCTCATGCAGGAATGTAGCCCAGCTTCTTTTGAAACTTCTGGTTTGAAAATTATTTGACCTTCAAGAGAATTATTTTTGGTAGAAGAAGTTATTAAAAAACCAAAACAGGAATTAACAGGCGAAGCCTACTTTCACATAGGTCAGAAGGAATTTGAAAGATAAACTAAACTTAAGTTGGCCACGCTAAACTTGGCTCGTGTGCCTTGAGTTCCACAAGAGGTTAAGAAAGACTTGAAGAAACCCTCTCATCTGTCAGCCTGAAGGGTCATTAGATGTGTCCAGTTCTAGCTGCAGGTTGAGAAAATACCTGGCATTTATCACAACTTACAACTTACTTTCAGCTTCCTCTTAATGTGAATTCTACCGTTTCCTTCTTCTCCCAATTTAGTATCATCAAGATAAACTATTTTCCCCTAAGTGCTCACACTTTAGGGAATGCAGCCATAATTCTGTGTGGGAGTTTCACCCTGCTTTGTCCAGCTCACTCTAAGTTCCCTACCTCCAAGAAAATGATACAGAACTCTCCCTTAGGAGAACAGAGCAGAAAGGGGAAATACAGTCTCAAGGGAGGCAGTTGTTTCCTGGTACTCCCAAAATTGTTCTCTCTCTCTGTCTCTCTCTCTCTCTGTGTCTGTCTGTCTCCCGCTCCCTCTCCTTCTTTATTATATCATAAAGGTCAATATGCTTTTTAAAAGAATTATTCACTTATCCTAACCGCCTCTGTTTCCCTGGGTTCGACCAACCCTGACTTTGACCACCAGCCCCTTATATACTCTTCTAGATGCTCTTGACAAATGCCTTGGGAAGTTTTTGTCCGGGTCAAGCATGTCTGGCTTATAGCTAGGCATTTTCACTTAAAATAGAACCGATGAAAACAACCTGAAGGTCATGGGGCCTGATATGTAGCAGTAGAAGGATAACCCGAACTTAAGTGATCACTCATTCATTTATTCAACAAGGGCTAAACTGCTACAAAAAAAAAAAAAAAAAAAAAAAAAAAAAGACTAACAGAAGAAAGGGCTACTGGGAATTAGTTAAGAGTTCAGTGGGCAGAGCCAATAGTTTCAGGGTGCAGTCGGCCATATTGAGAGCACAGTGGGGAGCACTCGTCAGAAAGGATAGCATGTTTGCTCAAAAAACACAGCCATTTAAAAACTGAACCCAAATCAAATTATGGTAACCTTTTAGACCCTCAGTATATTACCATAAACTGACAGTGAGGTAAGTCAACAATGAAGTCTTAAAAGAAATAAAATCTGCTGTGTAACTCGGAAGTAACCACATTGTGATTTGATTAGTCGCTGGAGTTCCCTGAAAATAAAGCCAAAGTCAGGGAGGACCCTTCGGTCCTCTGCGTTCCCGGACTAATGGCTACAGGAACTCCAACCTGGACAGTGGGCTATATGGTGGGTGTCAGGGCAATGCCAGGGAGACCCACAAAAGAAGACAGGTTGGTCAGGGGACATCAATTCCCACTAGGAAAGCAGAGTCAAATACTGTTGGTTCCCAGTGTCTTCCATTTTAGTATCAGAGCACTCAGAACAAGGCTTCTTCAGACACAGAATGTTCCCTGGGGCTCTGGCTTTATTAAAACCTGTGTCCCAATTTTTCTCTCTCCTTCCCCCTCCTCTTTCCTCACCCCCCTCTCTTACTCTCACTCTGGTTTCTTGATTGAGATGGGGTCTCTCTCAGCCTATAACCCGGGCGATCCTCCTGCCTCTACCTCTCAAGTCCTGAACCTGGTGTCATGAACCTCTACATCTTCTCCTTCAACTTAAGTTTTAGTTTATGTTTTTACACTAGGGGTATTTATTTATAAATAAGCATTATTTATTACTATGAGATTAAAAAGTCTTTTTCTGGTTAAAACGAAAGCATCTTTGAGGCCACGCAATATATATGAAACCCTTTTACTCATTTCTTCTTTTCTTTCTTCCTTCCTTTCTTTCTTCCTTCCTTTCTTTTTTTCTTCTTTGGCTACTGGTGTCTGCTGCTCATGTCTGAAGATCCTAACTGGAACTGTAAATTCACCCTCTGCAGAGCGGCTGCCTACTGTTGGTTCAGTAATTTGCTAGTAGTGGGATGAGAATCTGACCTTGCTGCCTGTGTATGGCACAGGGCCTAAGCTGAGGACAAGCTCCGCCCCCGATTGCAGTGACTACTGATGGACAAGAGCTCAGCTCATGGGTAAAATCCCACAGATGGGCCTTTCCAGAGAGTTCAGTTTAGACTCACCTCCTGCCTGCAGTGTGGACACCTCTGTCTACAGACACCACTCTCTCACACTCCACAAGGGATCTCCGACACTGGCGGCCCATTTGGCTTTTGGAAGCTCGCTGTCCCTACCTTGGATTCCCCACTTGGCTTTAGGCATCTGTTGGTTTCTTTACTTTTTAAATTCGTTTGTGGTCTTTAAACCTTGCTTTCGGTAACATTTGCCCTTGGACCAGTTTGCAGAATGCTAGGATTTCTACATCAATTATGTCTTCTGAAGTCGGCCTGATGAGCTTCAAAACCTGCTTTGTGTTCCCTAATACCAAACATTTGCAGTTGTCACCCCAGAGGCACAGGGAGTTAATTTTATGTCCTTCACAGTTCAAATGCCAAAATCTAAGAGTGCAGAGCTCCATCATATAAAATGACAAAGAGTTTGCATGTAACGTACATACATCCTCTACCTCCTTTAAGCCACTCCTAGATTACTTATAATGCACAATACGCTGCATGCTATTTTAGCACTTGCTATATTGTACTATTCAAAGAATAACAAAAGAAAAGGCTTGCATATATTTCAAACCAATTTTTCCCAAATATTTTTATCTGAAGTTGGATAACTCCATGGAAGCAGGATCTAAGGTTATAGAAGGCCAACTATATGTAATTTATTCTAATAGTAAAGAAAGATATATACTAAGACAATTTCATACAATGAGGTATTCCAGCAAATTACTCATCCTTTCTGATAACCAATGATTTTCCACTACTAATCTTGCAGGCTTAGATAAAAAGCTTGATTTGTTATTTTGTTTCATTTAGGCTGACTATCTGAGTATGATTAAAAATTAATCAAATGAGAGCTAGAAAGCTTGATCAGCAGCTAAGAGAATTGATGTTCTTTTAGAAGACACAATTTTGATTCCCAGCACAAGCATGGCAGCTTACAACCATTTGTAACTCCAGTCTCAAGTATATTCAGCACCTCTTCTGAACTCTGCAGGCACCAAGCACACACGTGGTACACAGACATACAGGCAAGACACCCATACACATAAAAACAAATATATATATATTTTAATATTGCAAGCAGCTACATGCAATAACACATATCTGTACTCCCAGGACTAGGGAGGCTGAGGCAGGAGGTCTGCTAAGATTTCAAGGCCAACCTGGGTTACATAGGGAGTTCTAGGTCTGCTGGGTATATATAAGACCCTATCTCAAAATTCAATCAATCAATCAATCAATAAAAGCCCCACCTAAACCAAGCCAAACAAGCAAATACCAGAATTTCTCTCAAGGGAATCCTAGACCAGGAAAAGAAAAAATTATGTATGTGTATTTCCTCCACCTTCAGATGGATGACAATCTAAAAATAACCTGGACTAAGGCAATAGATTACTAATAGAGAGTTGGGCCTGTAGTTCAGTGATAGACTATTTGTTTACCATGAACAAGACACTGGTTCAGTCCTCAGTGCTGCAGGGACAACAGGAAAAAAAAATGTATAGTGTTTATCTACAGTTACACAGGTAATCAAAGACAAAAAGACATCAGTAGTCTGACATTCTATTGCCCATAGCAAAACCAGCCTCTCCTGCCCTCCTGGCGTGGCTATAAAGGCATTCCCTCTAGTCAGCTATTGATTACCCTTTGAACAAATTGGTCCATTTTCTTAAGATCAAATAGTTACTTTGTGGTTTACTTCCTTGTTGTTCAGTTTTTGAGAACAACTCTTTTGGCATAGTTTAGGCTAGCCTGGAACTTACTATGTAGCCAAGGCTGGCCTGGAAATGTTGATTATCTAGCCTCGTCATCTAGAGTGCCGGGATTTCAAGAATGAACTATACAGCTTCTATTGCAAGTATACGTTCAGAATTCACATTTGAGAATGAAAGCCACTACAAATGTCAGATTCATACTGGGAAGCCCATTCGCTCACTGCCTACCCAGTGCCCTATTCTATGTTTTCAAGCAGTAAGAAGCCTCTATTTTACTGGCTTTCCCACAGCATAAACAGATACCATGCCCCTTCAGGGTTGAATGGTCTTTAAAATGCCTTGAGTCTCTCTGGGAAGCAATGTGGAATGTGACAGCTGGCTGTGCCAGGGGCAGCCATCACTGTCACAGAGAGCAACCTCTTATTCAATAAGCGGCTAATCCCAGACATCACGAATCAATTTCAATACATCACCCTGTTTCAATTTCCAGAGGATGCTCCACATGGAATCAAAAGACAGGGGAGGAAATGAAGTGCCTGCAAATCCTGACATCTCTCCCTCCCGGCCATATAGGGACTTATGTAGGGTAATCCAACCTGAACCGAAA